GATTTTGTTCATTTGTTGGGTTATTTATTTATTTATTTTAATGCCATTTGTAAAGACACTGCTGCCCTTTTCTGTCATCATTTATGCTACTGGGAAATATCTGATAGTTCACCAAGTTGGAAGAAAAGCATCAGGCTTCCCTGGAAATGTTACTGAGCAGAGAAAACCAGTAGTGGGATATGATGGAAACAGTGACGCTATATCTCTTCAGCTGTCTCTCAGCTTCATGCCAGTTCTTAAAGTCATTCTTCCTTGCTTGGATGGGTAAAAAATTGGGTGCCAGCTACTCTTGGGCCCAGAAAGAGAGAGGTTGTGAGCTGTCTGTGCCTTGGTTCTCCTGCTCAACCCAGGTTTCTAAAGACCCTGGGCATCTTTTTGGCCAGACTGCGTTGTTGCTGAGAGCCTCCTGAGGGAGCAGCAGTGGCAGAGGGGGCTCCCCTGGGGCCAGCAGTTCCCCTTGTGCCTGCCTTAGGCTTCCCAGAAGGCAGCGGCAGCGGTGGCAGGAGAGCTGCCGCTCCATGGCTCCTGCTGGTGCTGGTGGTCCGGAGTGCTTCCCATTGCTGTGGGTCAGGCTCTCTGCTATGCTACGCTGACTTTTTGAATTGTGAATTGCTGCATTCTTCACGCTTTGGCCATCTGCAGTCCAATCAAGCATGTACTCGTTCCTATGAATGCACAGTGTTTTTATTATTTGGTTTTTGGATCTTTTTAATTCCTTGGCCTCAGTGATACTTTGTGGAAAAGTGATCGAGGGGAGATTGTGTAGTCTGGCATTTTTTTACCTGTTACCTTTTAAGTCTTACCAGCTTTGAGTTTGCTTGAGTGTTGCTTTGCTCACATATTCTGAAAGAGGAAACAACTTGCTCGACCCACGTACTCTAGATCAGCCATTACTTTTAAGTATTTATCTCGGCTTCTCCCTCATTTGTCTCTTGGCCCGCTCAGCTGTCCCACTGTGTTTGGAGAGAGGAGAAGGGGCTACAGGCATGACCTTGTCTGGATTCATTACTTTGTTAGTTTTGGCATTCTATGCATTTTTAAATATATCTTTTCCTTTTATAGGATTAAGTATTCCTGTTTTAAGAGCTTGGTGAAACACACATTTCCCTGTTCTCCTATCTTAGGCTCAGCAGCTGATCAGCACAAGGCTGTAGATCAGAACTGGCTCCTGGTTCCTTCAGACATCAGTTAGAAGAGGCGATGCTGAAATGGTTTGCGGCGTGCTGACCAAGGAGACAGCTGGGGATAGTATTTCTGTTAAATGTTGATTCCAGCTCTTGCTGGAGAATTCAGTTTTGAGAGGCTGAGCAGACCTCAGCAGGTATGACTCTGGAGAAAAGAGGGACAAGAACAGAATGAAAAGTTCTCACATGTTTTCTTTTTCCCCCCTCAGAGCATTGTCTTGGTAATGCTGCCATTTAAAGATTGAGTGCCTATCCAAGGGCTGAATTTCATAAATAATGTTGATTTAGGTCACAGCTATAAGATTGCCCATCCATCCATCTGGTACAAAGTAATAAATACAAAATCCGTCTGAAATGACAGGCCAGCCTCTCTGCTCTCTGGCTGAAGTAAATGTGTTCCTATTGTGGTGTGATAGCCTGGCCGGCCTTGACAGTGGATTCCAAGAATTGCAAGTTTATGGTCTGTCAGCCAGGGCAAACATCTGTCCCTCAAGTATTCCCCATTTTTTGTACCTAGAAGACAGAACCAGGGAGGCATTAAGAAATGAGTGGCAGAGAGAGATTATCTGCTTTGATGCATGTATTCTCTGGGCTGGGAGACAGAGAGCTGGGGTGGTTGTACTCCTGTGGTCTCAAAGACCAACAAAACACTGCCTGTGGACATGTGTGCATTGTAGAGGTCTGAAATGGCACAGAGGAGATCTTATCCTCATTTTTTGGCTCTTCTGTAGAGACACAACCCTCCTGAGTGCCTGTAGCACAGAGGTTTTAAAGTTTTGGCTATTGCTTATTACAAACCAAGAATAGTTTATTGCACAAGGTCTGGGTTAGTGCTTGAGTGGCCCTATGAAACAGTGATATCACTCAATAGCCAAGTTTTCCAAGTGGAGTGCGTTAACAAGCTCCTGACTTACTCATTGCGTATCTCTCCCAGCAAGGTGTCACCCTAAGGGACAGGCATGATCAGGGCTGTGCACATGCCAGGTCTGCAGGACTAATCCTGCTTCCCTGCTGCGTTGTGTGAATCTGGGTGCTCAGGTGGCATCTTCTGTTCTGGGCTGAAACTCCCCCAAACCAAGGCTCTTTTGATCTTAAATGGTCCCTGCAATTTCTAACACAGTTAAAGGTCCTTGTCCTGGTATCCTCATCAAATTCCAGTTTCATTCTTTATGCCCCCTCTCAGGCTCCTTGCTGGGACCCAGTACTTTACCAGTCTCCAGCTTCCCAGCCTGCAGAGGCCCGTGGGATGGGAGGTTGTACAGAGAAAGGAAGGAAGGAGGGGCATTTCCTTTGGGTGTACAGGGGGATCCAAGGTCAGAAGGAGGGAGCCTGTGAAAGTCAGAAAGTGGGAACAAGGGATGAAGTTCAGAGGAGAGGCATCAGCTGAAGGAAGAAAGGGTAATCTTTGGGCTGGAAAACTACATCCTGAGAGAGCTGAGTACTCACAAGGACTCTTTGCAGAGATGGTTTGCAGTGGATTCTCAATGTCTCTCGAGACCTTGTCTTTTAAAAAGCCTTTGAAGGCCCTGTTACTGCATTGACAAGCAATCAGATGCTCATACAACAGGTTTTGCTACCCTTTTCCTGCTGGATTGGCCTCACATCGCAGGTGGCCTCTCTGGGTGCAGAGGTGTGCTAGGGGATGCAAGGACAGAGTGTTTCCATCGCAAGACGATGGAAGTTCTGCTCTCTGGCCAGCTCTTCCCAGTCTTCCTTGGTGTAATGCAGAGACAGGCTGGGGAGCTGGAGGGGGTTTCTGTTAGCTAGTCAATCAATCATTTCCCCATGTTTATTATTTATCCCCCTGGCCGAGCCCTCCCCTCATCCCTGCCACTCTGGGCAATGGGAATTTTTGTGATCTCTGAGCAGTAGAGGCTGGCGGGCAGCCTGATCAATGCTAGCAGCTCATTCTCAGCCACGTGAGAGGAGAAACATCAACAAGGAGAGATGGAGTTAGAACTTTATTAGGAGAAACCTAGGCACAATTGACTAAAATCTCATATTAAGGAGAGCACACAGATATTTTCAGGATTAAAAAATACACATATGTTAAAAAACCCTTACAAACAAACAAAAAAATGTTTTCCCCCCCCTCTGTGTGTAAGTATGTATGTATATGTACAGGGAACTGTACCAAAGCTAGCTATGTATTGGGAGCAAGGATTCACAGTCCCTTTCAGCAGTGCCTAAGAGAGGGAATGGCTCAGTCCCCTCTAAGTTGGTCCCAGGCCATTCACTCACGCAGTCCAACGCTGGGAAGCTGTGCCCCGTGTCCAAAAGGGCGGTGCAGGGTAAACAACAGGGAGCAGCTTGGCTCTGTTTAGCAATTCTCTTTAAAAGAAGGATGTCATCTCTGCAGTGAGAAAACGTATCTGGAGTGGGAGCTGCCTACAGACCTTACCCACCAGACTCACTGTGCAGTGTTGGGCCCCAACGGCTGCTCTGAGAGGCTACAGTGGTGGAAAGAGCTGGTCCATGCGTGGTTTCTTACACCATATGCGCTAGGGATGGAGTGGAGATGAAGATGACCTGATGGCAGAACAGGGACTTGCTGTGAGGACAACTATCTTGGCTTGCACTAGCTGGCAGGCTTGAGAGAACAGCCAAGAGCTGAAGGATGTGCAGGACCTGGAGAAGACTCTTGCTCCTTGCAAAAGATGCTGAAGTGTTTCGGTAGGTTAGTGGGAGAAGACACAGGCCGTACCTCTTCTGCAGATAAACAGAAGATTTTTTTTTTTTCCCTCTCAAGTTGGCAGCTGGCAGCACCCTTTCAGCAGCATTCATGTTGCTTGAAAGATGAGTTTAAAAAGGGGAAAAATCACTTTGATTCCACATGGTAATTCCTCCTTATTTACTAGTAGCATATTTTTTCTGACAGGAGAGTCTCTATTTCTGTTAATGGATGTCTCAGAATTGATGACACAAGTATCTTGGGAAAATTCCCTAGTCTTCATCAACTGGTCATCTAAGTGATATCCCAGGGCCAGTCTGCTGTGCTGACTTAGGAATGAGGAAGGGATTCCAACATCGGACATGAGGCAGCTGTGTGTGGGGGACCACAGACGTCCTTATCTATGGGGAAGAATTATATACACAGCATCAAAAAATTCAAGTAGGATTTATTATATAGGTAAACTGATATAAAATATCTGGGCTCAGGTAGAGAAGGGGAGGATTAGAAAGAGTGAGAACAAAGCAGAAGAAAAAGTCTTTCTTTCAGAAAGCCTACCAGTGTGTTTCTGCTCCCTGCAGGTGAGAGAAGCTTCAGCTCAGTATAACTGCCAAGCTGACATAGCAAATGTTGAACAGGCACCAAAGAAGATGCAAAGGGGTTGAGGTCCAGTCAGTCTGTTGAATGCACGGAGTCTGCTGGCCTGTGCTCTACCAGGCTAAGGATGGTGAGTCTCCAGTCCCTGTGAGTCCCATGAAAAAAATATGGCTGAGCGCCTCACATCTCGAGATTGGTGTGTGTCTCCCAGTGGCTGCCCCTGCCTTAAGCTGTGAGAGGTGCTGCCTGCAATATAACAATGATGCTTACTGAAAAGGAGCCAAAAGGGTGTTAAAACAGAGAGAGGTTAGTGGCAAGAGTCTGGAGTCCGCTTTGCAGAAGTTTTACTAAGCGCTGAGACTGCTCCTTCCTCTCATCCCTCCTGGAGACAGGTCACACGGACAAATCACTTTGCAGAAGTTTTACTAAGTGCTGAGACTGCTCCTTCCTCTCGTCCCTCCTGGAGACAGGTCACACGGACAAATCATCCGACCTTGCCTTGCTGCTGGCACGGC